AATTCACTCAGGAAACTCATGGGCAGGATCTCCAGGAAAGCCAGTCTGAGGGGGAGAGGAGTCCAGGAGAGCTGGTTGTACTTCAAAGAAGCCTCACTGAGAGTGCAGGAAAAAACCATCCCAATGTGCAGGAAGACCAGCAAGTATGGCAGAAGACCAGCTTGGCTTAGCAGGAAACTCTTCAGTAAACAAAATCACAAAAAGGAAGCTAATAAGAAGTGGAACTTGGACAAATAACTAGGGAAGAATATAAGAGCATTGGTTGGGCATGCAGGGATGAAGTCAGGAACATGAAAGCGCAACTGGAGTTGCAGCTAGCAAGGGATGTGAAGGATAACAAGAAGGGTTTCTACAAGTATGTGGACAGCAAGAGAAGAATCAGGGAAAGTGTGGGTTCTTTACTGAATGGGGGAGACAACCTTGTGACAGAAGATGCAGAACAGGCTGAAATGCTCCATGCCTTTTTGCCATCATCTTCACAGGCAAGATCAGGTCCCAGAATACTGCACTGTAGGCTACAGACTACAGTTTGAGGAGGAGGTGAGCAGTCCTCCGTGGTGAAAGAACAGGTTAGGGACTATCTAGAAAAGCTGCATGTGTACAAGGCTGTGGGGCCAGATGGGATGTACCCGAGGGTACTGAGGGAGTTGGCTGATGTAATTGCAGAGCCATTGGCCATTGGCCATCATCTTTGAAAAGTCATGCCTGACCAACCTGATTGCCTTCTGTGATGAGGTGACTGGCTGTATGGATGCAGGGAGACCGGTGGATGTGATGTACCTTGATCTTAGCAAAGCTTTTGATACGGTTTCCCACAGCATTTTCCCAGGCAAGCTAAGGAAGTATGGGCTGGATGAATGGACTGTAAGGCAGATAGAAAACTGGCTGGAGCATTGGGCTCAGAGAGTAGTAATCAATGGCTCAATGTCTAGTTGACAGCCTGTATCAAGTGGAGTGCCCCAGGGGTTGGTCCTGGGGCTGGTTTTGTTCAATGTCTTCATCAACAACCTGGAAGATGGCTTAAAGTGCACCCATAGCAAGCTTGCAGATGATAATAATCTGAGGAGAGTAGTAGATACGCTGAAGGGTAGGGCTAGGATTCAGAGTGACCTAGGCAAATTGGAGGATTGGGCCAAAAGAAATCTCATGAGGTTCGACAAGGACAAGAAACATGGGGCATACTGCTCTTTATGCCAGTGACAATGCAAACATACTTGTATAATAGGGTCACATTAATAGGAGATGTGGCATAATGGATTCGGCTGTAAACCTACGAACATAGATTAGTTCAGTTTCTTGGACAAATGAGCAAATGAGCTCCTGAAGCCTCCCCTTTTATTTTGATTACAGATAAATTATAAAAACACAGCCACACTTATCTAAAGATGGCTTACTGAATGCTTACAAGTTTGCAGGTGACACCAAGCTGGGGAGAGTAGTAGATATGCTGGAGGTGGAGGGTAGGGCTAGGGTTCAGAGGGACCAAATTGGTGGATTGGGCCAAAAGAAATCTCATGAGGTTCAAATAAGGACAAGTGCAAAGTCCTGCACTTAGGATGGAACAATCCCATGCACCAGTACAGCCTGGAGACTGACTGGCTGGGCAGCAGCTCAGCAGAAAAGGACTTGGAGGTTATAGTTGACAGCAAGCTGAATATAAGCCAGCAGTGTGCCCTTGTTACTAAGAAGGCTAATGGCATACTTGGCTGCATTGGTAGGTGTGTTGCCAGTTGGTCAAGGGAAGTCATTATTTCCCTCTATTCAGCACTGGTGAGGCTGCATCTGGAGTACTCTGTTCAGTTTTGGGCCTCCCACTTCAGAAAGGATGTGGACAAATTGGAGTGTCCAGCAGAGGGTGACAAAAAAGGTGAGGGGGCTGGTGTATGTGACCTATGAGGAGAGGCTGAGGGAACTGGGCTTATTTAGCCTAGAGAAGAAGAAACTGAAGCAGCACTTAATAGCAGCTTTCAACTACCTGAAGTGGGGTTTGATAGAGGATGGAGCTAGATAGGTCTCAGTGTAGGCAGATGACAGAACAAGGAGCTATGGTCTCAAGTTGCGGCAAGGGAAGTTTAGGTTAGATATTAGGAAGAATTTTCTCACTAGGAGGGTAGTAAAACACTGGAACAGGTCACCTAGAGAAGTGGTGGAAGCTCCATCCTTGGAGGTTTTCAAAACGTGGCTAGACAAAGCTTTGGCTGGGATAATCTAGTTGGGGCTGGTCCTGCTTTGAGCAGGTGGTTGGACTAGATGACCTTCTGAGGTCCCTTCCAACCCTCATTTTCTATGGCTATATAGAATCTGCATGACCTGTGGGTTGTAACAGAATAAAGTCAAGAAGGGAATGTTTTATGATTCCCAAGTGACTGTGATAGTGACCATTAAGTGCACATCCCTACGAGCAGAAATGTATGTTCCCCAGGGACAACCAGTAGCAGCACAAATATGTTCTTCCTTGGGGAGCACACATATATGCTGCTGCTAGTTGTCCCCAGCGAACACCCTGCATCTGTGCTTTGGCATGCAGCATACTGCCCCAGGTGGGCTAGGGGAGGCTGGGTCCAGCACTGGGCTGGCCCCAGCAGCTTTACTTGGGGTCCTTCTGGGGCTCCAGTGGTGGTGATTCTGGTGTGCGGAGGCTGGCTGGCAGCTGGAGTGTGGCTCTGGCCAGCCAGGCTCTGGGTTTGGGCGGCACACACTCTAATTGGATCACTCTTAGTGTGTTCAACATCACATGTATTCAGCATGCCTGTGTTTCAAAATGGTGGTGGGGCACATTAGCTAAAGCTTGTCCAACGATCTTTAGTTAAAGTGCTCCCACTGCCATTTTTTAAGCACGTGACTCTGAATACATGAGACGTGGAGCGTATTGCTGCTCTAATTAAAATGTCCTCCTCCCACTCCAGAACACTTATAAAGACACCCTATGTTATTCGTGTTCTGCAGTTTTCTACTTCTTTATTGACTACAGAAAAGTTCCATTTTGTTGCTTACCTCAAATATTCTTCACTCTCCTAAGTTTGGAGCCTTCATCTTTAGTACGTGTGAACAAAGGGGAAAGAATTGACCAAGTCAGTGACTAAATTCCCATTTTCTCTCATGGATCATGCTGACTTGTGAGCAGGGATCCTGGTTTTCTCTGTTTAAAAATCACAACTTCTCTGATAAAAAATAGTAAATTTGCTGATTAACCCCCCTGTAG